ATCTCAATTAAAGATTAGTAAATATGATTAATTAATTTTAATTAATCTTAATTAATATTAAGTTAATTATTTAATTAAGTTAATTATTTTGATTAATTAATCTTAATTTTCAATTAACTTCAATCTTGGTCAAAGTCAAAGTTTTCTTTTATTTTATCTCAATTTCACCCGCAAGTTCTATGATTAAGCAATTTAGTCCTAAAGTTTCAAACCTTTTTAAATCAGTCCTTCATATTTTCAAATTAATCAAATTAGTCCCTTTAATTTTATTTGTGCTTATGATGCATGCTTGTCTTTGATTTTGTCCATTTTAGTCCAAAAATTTTAAAAATGTTTCAATTTGGTTTATCCCTTTTTCAAGCTTTCCTATTAAGACTCAAACATAAATATAATAAATAAGTTGAATCAAAACCCCCAATGTTAAAGTACGCAACCGTGTTTAAACGGAGGATTGTGAGGTGCGCGTATGCCCTTCCTCACTCCAAACCGAACCCCCGAACCCCGATCTCTGCGTAGACCCGTTTTAGGTGACTTGTCCCACCTTAAAATTTGGACGAGTGGCGACTCCCCTTTTTCTTATATATTTCACACTTAATTTTTCAATTTATTTTTGAAAAATCTTAAGTGGTCGTCAACATGGGGTTTTCTCTTTGCTGCGTACTTCAGATGGTAAGCTTACAATGTTAATGGTCCCCACAACTTCTAATGGTTGTTCTTCTTCTTTCTCTTTTTCTCCAGCCTTTTTGTGCTGATCTTTCCTATTCTTGCTATTGTTGTTTCTTTTAACGAATTGCCAGAGTGCTCTTAATCTTATTAACCTCTCAATTTCTATTTTCAGTTGTCTACATTCTTCTATGTCATGTCCATGTTCTCCATGAAAGGCGCAAAATCGTGTCTAGTCTCTCCTAGTTAGGTTACTCGCCATTCTAGTCGGTCATTGAAGCTTCTCTATTTTCTTTGCTACATTCAAGACCTCTGTCCTGCTAGTATTTAAAGGTGTGAGCGTTGTGTATCCCACAAATTCTGTGTCCTGGGGTGTCTATCCCTCAAGTTGTATCTTAGTTGTTTTCTATCTTTGACACTTTTATTATCTATACCTTTTTCTATTTTTTGCTTTCTTCCTTCTTCTGAATTTGATGTTTCTTGTGCCTCTTTTACTGCTGCCCTTTCTTTCACTCAAATGTATCCTTCTGCCCTTCTTAATAGATCATTAAGGCTAGTGGGCTCTCGTTTGTTTAAGGATCCATAGAAACTTGAGTCTTTAAGTTCATCCATTAGAGCATGCATTGCCACACTTTGGTCTAATCTTTCTATTTGCACAGCTTCGTTGTGAAATCTTGCTATGTAGGCTCTAAGTGACTCTCCTGTCTTCTGTTTAATTGTTAAGAGATGATGGTTGGTCTTTTGAGGAGCTTTACTGGCAGTGAAGTGATTGATAAACATATTTGCAAATTGATCAAAGGTCTGGATAGATTTTTCTGGTAATGTTGCGAACCAAGCCTGCGCAGCTTTCCTAAAAGTTGCTGGGAATTGCTTGCATAATAGAGCATTCGAGGCTCCATATACCATCATTGCCATTCTATATCCTTGCACGTGTTCCACTAGGTCTTGAGTTCCATCGTATTCAGCTAGCTGCGAAGTTTTGAAGTTTGATGGCACAGGTTCCCTGATGATTTCATATATAAAGGCTTTTTCTACTGAAGCTGTGTGTGCTGGTTTTGCATACCTCTGCATGCCTGCTTCTATTTTTGCCAGATGTCGTCACAATGCCTCAATTTCTTTGTAAATACCATCATCATGAACCTGAGTTTTTGCCTTTTGTGGACCTACTATTGTGAAGGTGGCTTCATGGACTTGTTGGCTAGCCTTCCTTTGGTTTGAATGTGTGCGAGGTATCATGTTTTTGCTCTGAAAATTGTATTGAGTGAAAGCTGAGGATGGTTGCAAGCTCATGTCGACTGTCAACTCTGTCGGTTTTGAAGGTACATAACTTTCATCTTGGTTGCTATTTTCTCGTGTTGAATATTGCTCTTGCCTTTCAAGTGTCGTAGCGTCACTTCTTGACAAGTGTTCTCGTCTTGTTTCTTGTGACGAGGTGTTAATAGCCTTTGTCATAGATGCTATGGCTTGCTCAACTGCTTTTAAACTTTGCCCTATTTCTTTCATGCCTTGTGTAAGTTTTTGTATTTGCGATGCTATGGTTGAGTCTGATGGTTTGGCTTTATTGACAGTATCTCTTGGATTCGTGCCTGACGAAGAAGAGTTGCTCATTCTGGCTTTGCTTCTGGAACCTGGGGTGTTTCTGCTAGGACATGATGAATTTTCTGAATTTTCCATGCGGTATTGGTGGATCGAAAAGAACTCAGCCGCACGATGGGCACCAAATGTTAACACTAAAAAATAGAATAGATGGTGTGGAACCAAGATCTTTGTTGATAGAGAGAATTTACAATGAAGAGAGAATGATGATGGAAAAATAATTTGCCTCCTTAGGTTGATCCTGAAGGTATTTATAGGATGCTTAAATATAGTTATTCTAGGAATACAATTTTATTTAATTGGTGTTTGGGGTATTCTTATTCTAGTGGGATTTATTCTATTCAACTTTGATAGGATTATCTCTAGAATGTTTTCACGTGTCTTGATTCTCATGGGACTTGATTTAGGGTATAACACTTACCATAAAGGTAGGGCTACTATGAGGACTCTGGGAGGCCTGTATAATCTTCTGGGTTATTAATTCTCAAATTTGCTTCTCCAATTCTTCCTTATCTTCGGGACTATACCTCATTGGCTTAACTCTAATGATAGTTTTTGGATCTATTAATTCAATGGTAGCATAAGTTTTACCAACTTCCCACAGTTTTGTAAGGTCTTCTCTATAGTTGTTTCTTAATTCTTTTGAAATTGATTCTAGAGTTATTTCTTCTTTTATTAATGCTAACACTAGTTTTCTAATCTATTTTGAGTGAGTTTTTCTATTATCCTCACCACGTTGGCTGTAAAAATTTAAGGGTTCTATTATTCTAGTGTAAGCATTATATATTCTAGAGGCGTAAAGCCAATGACCACAAGGTGTATAAAATTTTACATATGATGCAATTTGAATATATTGCTTGAATTGGCTTAAGAAATTATTTCCTAATAGAATATCATTTCCATGCTCATTACTTTCATAGATTCAGGGAATTATAATTTCGGTTCCACCAATTACGGTAGTAACTCTTTCTATTATTGTTTGATATTGAATAACGCTTCCATCTATGGCTATACCTTTTATTGTTTGAGAGGTTTGCTTCCAATAATGCTTTGGGAATACATTGGTTTTTGCCAAACATATCCCAAATCCTGTGCCTATAAAAGCATGAAAGAATTTTGTTTTGTATTCCTCATACTTTATTCCAATAGATATGTATACACTATCGATACTAGTTTTCATAGTGTCTTGGTATAACTACTTCTTTTCCACTTAAGGTGATCTTTAAGCAATGTTCTTGAATATTATATGGTTGTACTGATGTTAAGAATGTATTTTCTAACATTAATTCTATACTTGCAGTCATTTTTGTTTTAGCATAAGCTGTTATAGTGATTTCATGTTGTATCTTATTTTTATCCTTTATTCTAAGAGGTACTCTGGCATATTCATGCATTGTGGTCACTGTACCATTAAAGTTGAAACATGTATAATGTTTAGTGAGTTCAAACCTTTGTAGGTGTGGGATCATATCTGTATGAATATGTGTTACTCCCACTCCTATATCAAGTAGGATGGAAATGTTATGCCATTCCTTTCCATCATAATAGTCTCCCTTTATTTTAAAGTGTCTAGAGGGGATTTTTAAGGTGTCTAATACCGTTTCATGTTTAATACTAGTTGTTCTAGTTAAGACTTTTTTATCTTTCTTAAGGTAGCTCAATGCTTCTAAGTCTATACTATTTCTATGGTTTGGTTCAGGTTCTATTCTAACCAATAGTCTTCCCGACTCATATGCCATTAATCTAGGTTTTTTCCTTTCTCCTATTAGGAGTGGTTTTTCACTAATCTCCATTTTCCATTCTTTGGGTAGCTCTATTTCAGTGATCATCTCTGGTTTTTGAATTTGTCCTATTTCAACAAACATAGGACCTAATTCAATATATTTTTTATCTTTAAAAAGATTAGACTAATGACTATTGGTTAATGCATAACTTATCATATAGTAAATACTATATGGCATTGATCCATCTTTCATAAAATTTTCTCTAGCAAATTCATGTGCTAGACTTAGTGTTTTATTGATATTTCTATATTAATATTTACAACATATTTTGGATATACTATGGACATGAGTTTTTGATAGCTAAGGTTACCTTGCACTAATCCTAAGATAGTATCATTTCTATCGTTAATTCTGTTATCAATTAAAGCTATCTTTATTGGGGTATCTATACCTTCTCTAAAATGAGCCTTAATGAGAATTTGGATTCCTCCTATATGGATAAACCCTATTCTTGATCGATCAAGTTCCTTGATTTTTGACAATTTACTTTCTATTTCTGACTTGATGAGCAAAGGTATGTTTATTATTCCTATTGTATTCTTGATGGGAATACTATATTCCTTAGTAGATATTCCATAATAAACTATATCTTTCCTTTTAAAAGGATTACTAATAAAGGAACTTGACTTAAATCCCTTTTCTACTGCAAGGTCTATTCCTTTTTGTCTAATTCTTTTATACTTACTTTTATCGAACACAATTATTTGACTGTATTCTCGATGTCCTTCATATTCTTTAGAGTAAGCTTCTCCTTCCTCAATAACCGGATTCATTACTGCTAGAAGTATCTAAACTCTTTACTTCATATATAGTTTCATTACTATTTATAGAACTAGTCTCTATTTCACTTAACTCTTCTTCATAGATTTTTAGATTTTTAATACTTTCTCTTTTGTATCTTTTAGGACATTCATTTGATTTTTAGATTTTTAATACTTTCTCTTTTGTATCTTTTAGGA